AAGGTGGCCACCAGTGGCAGAACACAGGACCCTACCACCAGCCCCCCCCACCCTCCATGGTGGAGCACCAGGGGAGGGGTCCCACCACCCCCTCCCTCCCTGGGCCGGGTTCCCTGGGCTACCAGCGCCCCCCCCGCGGTGGCCACCTGGTCCTCCAGGGTCTCGTTGTCACGGAGGAAGCCCTCGAAGTCCACCAGGGGCTCCCAGGGGTTGTTCTGGGCGTAGATGCTGCTGCTGGTGGGTTCCTCCTCGTGCCGCCGCGTCACGGCCAGGGGGTACCTGGGGGGGGACAGGGTCAGTCACCAGTGGAAGGTCCTGACAAGTGGGGACAAGTGGCCAAGGGCATGAGGGGCCACCAGCAGAAGGTCCCAGGGTGGGGACCAGTAGCCAAGGGGACAAGTAGCCAAGGGGACAAGGTGGGGACAAGTAGCCAAGGAGACAAGGTGCCACCAGAGGTCTTGGGCTGAGGACCAGTAGCCAAGGGCACCAGCAGAAGGTCCTGGGGTGGGGACCAGTAGCCAAGGGGACAAGCTGGGGAGAAGTAGCCAAGGGCACGAGGTGGGGACAAGTAGCTGAGGGCTTGAGGTGCCACCAGAGAAGGTCTTTGGGTGGGGACAGTAGCCAAGGGGCCACCAGTGGAAAGTCCCAGGGCAGGGACCAGTAGCCAAGGGCATGAGGTGCCACCAGAGCAGGTCCCGGGTTGGGGACCAGTAGCCGAGGGCACCGGCAGAAGGTCCCCACGCCACGACCACGGTGGCTCGGCACACGGGGAGCGGTGTGGCCGTGCCACAGCCCATGGGGCGGGGGGCTGTGGGGTTCTGGGGTGACCCCCCCTCTCCTGGAGCCCCACCTTCCCCAGGAGACGCCCTTCTCCTCCTGCCAACCGCGGGGCAGGACGGGCCCGGCGTGGGAGCGGAGCTGGAGGCGGTAGCCGCGGTGGTGGCCCCAGCGGTTGCGGCGCCGGGGGTTGTAGAGCAGGAGGTACCGCGGCAGCGGGGACCCGAAGGGGAAGGCGGCCTCGGCCTCGTGGCGCCGGCGCCGCCGCTGCAAACGGGGCTGGACAACCCGGGCCCCGGGGCTCCAGGGGTTGGAGATGTTCTCCATGCGCACCTCCAGCGACTCGAAGCTGTTGCCGGTGCCTGCGAGAAGAGGGGGCGTGAGAAGCGGTGGGCGGTGGGGTCCCACCAACGGCGTCCCATCAGTGGTGTCCCACCAAGGACATCCCATCAATGGTGTCCCACCAACGGCATCCCATCAATGGTGTCCCACCAAGGACATCCCATCAATGGTGTCCCACCAACCACATCCCATCAATGGTGTCCCCACCCGTGATACCTCATCAATGGTGTCCCATCAATGACCTCCCACCAATGGTGTCCCACCAACACCATCCCACCACCAGCACCCCGCCGATGGCATCCAACCATCAGCATCTCATCAATGATGTCCCACCAACACCATCCCACCAGTGGCACCCAACCAGTGGCCTCCCATCAATGGTGTCCCACCATCAGGGTGACCCCACCAGTCCCCCACTGGACACATCCCACCCGCCTCATGGTGCTGGGACCCCATGGAGATGTCACCAGGGAAGGGGGGGAACAGACGGCAACGCTCCCGTGGGAATGAGGGTCCCAACCCCTGGAACTCCCTGTGGGGTCCGGTCCCACCCCCCCATCGCCCTCCCCAGAGCTGGGGGGGGGACCCAGCAGGGGCGGGGGCTGCACCTGCGACGTCCAGGTCCACCTTGTAGTGGACCAGGTGGGTGTGGAGGTTGCCCAGGAGGTGGCTGTGGACGCGGCTGCCGTAGCGCCGGCCCTGGGGGGTGTAGAAGGTGGCGTGGATGTAGCCGGTGGCGTGGACCTTGGCCTCCAGGACGCCGTTGGGGTAGAGGAGGAAGTCCCAGATGTAGTCGTAGTTGTAGACGGTGGAGGTGGTCCTCAGGACCAGCGCGTGCCCCTCCAGCCCCGCGTAGAAGTGGAAGCCCCCCTGGAAGTCGCTGTCGAAGTGGCGGCGCAGGGGGACGCCGGTGGGCAGCTCGAAGACGCAGAGGGCCTTGGAGAACCTGACGGGCCCGTCGGCGTCGTAGAGGTGGTGGGCGTCCAGGAAGGTGGCCACCTCCGGGCAGTCGATGCCGGGGGCCAGCTCGTAGGAGACGGAGCCCATGCCCCAACCGGCGTCCATGTACTTGGTCTGCATGGCCGCCGGCGTGTGGCCGCCGTAGAAGGCGATGGCCTCCTGGACGCTCAGCTCGAAGGCCACGCGCTCCCCGTTGAAGCGCAGGTCGAAGAGCTGGAGGCCGGCGGAGGAGCGCAGCCGGAAGGCCAGGCTCCAGCCCCCGTACTCCAGGAGGTTGCCCCGCAGCCGGTACCGCCGGCCCTGGGGCTCGCACACCTTGGCCCCGTGCACGTCGGTGGGGGTCCCGGTGGAGAAGGTCCCCCGGGGCTCGTAGCTGGAGAAGAGCCCCTCGGCGGGGAGCTCTTCCAGGCGGGCCACCGCCACCGTCCCCCTCTGGTAGCCGCGGGCTAGCTCCTGGGGGGTGGAGAAGTACCTCCCGTTGTACCACAGCCGCTGGACCTCCCAGCGGGCCGGGTCGGGGTCCCGGTGGTCCACCAGCACCTCCAGGCCCACGGGGTGCAGGAAGAAGCCCTCCACCTGGCGCTGCAGGATCAGCCAGGAGCGGCGCTCGCCGGGGCCCAGCCCGCGGGGCGCGATGTCGGAGAAGGTGAGGCAGCGGCTGGTGCAGTTGTGGAACCAGTAGCCCGTGGCCTCGCGCAGCAGCGGGTAGAGGGGCTCGGTGGCCACCGCCAGCGCCCGCCGCAGCCCCTCGTACTCGGCCTGGGTCATGGGGCGGGAGGAGAAGGGGACGGGGCGGGCGCCGGGCCGGCGGAGGGGCCGGTAGAAGATGGGACGGGGCAAGGGCCCCACGACCAGCTCGGTGACGTTGGGGTGGGCTTCCCCCCCGAAGAAGACCACGGCCCGGGCCAGGCGGCGGGGGCGAGGACCCCCCCCGTCCAGGTAGCGCAGGGCCGGCTCCTTCTTGGGGGGCAGCAGCTCCACCAGGAAGAGGGTGTTCTTGGCCGAGGGGCCCCCCCGGTTCGGGGACAAGCCCAGCTCCGGGCAACCCAGCAGGAAGGTCCTGACGGCCCGAAGCTCGGCCGCCGACAGGTCGGCGAAGATGGAGGCCTTCTCCTGGGGGGAGGCCACGGGGCGGGAGGTGGCCACCGTGGCCACCAGGGCCAGCAGGGTCAGCAGCCACATCCTGGGCAGGGGGGAAACCTGGGGGGCAGAGAGAGACATGGGGCTGGAGGTGGCCACCATAGCCAGCAGGGTCAGTAGCCACATACTGGGGGGGAATCTGGGGGCAGAGGGAACTGTGGGGCTGGAGATGGCCACCATGGCCACCATGGCCAACAGGGTCAGTAGCCACATCCTGGGGGGGACCTGGGGGGGCAGAGGGAGCCATGGGGCTGGAGATGGCCACCTTGGCCACCAGGGCCACCAGCCACATCAGGGGGGGACCCTGGGGAATAGAGGGAGCCATGGAGCTGGAGGTGGCCACCATGGCCACCATGGCCACCAGGGTCAGCAGGGCCAGTAGCCACATCCTGGGGGGGACCTGGGGGGCAGAGGGAGCTGTGGGGCTGGAGGTGGCCACCGTGGCCAGCGGGGCCAGCAGCCACATCGGGGGGGGACCTTGGGGAATAGAGGGAGCCATGAGGCTGGAGGTGGCCACCAGGGCCACCAGGGCCAGCAGCCACATCTTGGGGGGGAATCTAGGGGCAGAGGGAGCTGTGG